TTAATATTACCTATATCAATACATAAGTACGCATTTTAATCAAGCTGTTATTAATTTTTCAAACTAATATATTGCTTCAATTGAATTCATTATAGATACACAGACTTTACAATAGTCTTTTTTTTTTCATTATTTTTGACACTAAATTATGTGATTTTATTTATTAATACTCTGCAGTTTAGTACAATTAAAGTTAAATTATAATTATTCATTTTTAATAGTTGTGATTAGTGATATTTAATATTCCTTTTAACTTAGGAACAATTACCACGTGATTTTTTGACTTTCTCAGAATTTTACTTGAAAACAAGACACAGAACAATGATGTTTAAAAAAGAAATAAAAAAGAAAAGTAGAATATCGCTTTCGCTACTGTTGGAATAACCTTGAGTATCCTTCGTCCATCATCGATGTACAAAATACTGAAATACCTATAGCATCCGGTAATATCATCAGAAAGTAGATCAATCATCAATGGTATGTGATAATTTCCACTTGACTGTTTTTTTTAGTCAATACCTCTTAAAACGATTATTAAACTATCTTAGAAATTGGAGTTGTTTTTAAAAAAAAAATATTGTATATTAGTCGGCAATTACTGGGTAATCTGCTAAACGAATGACTTTAACTTTCTATGTTCTTAAGTGTTCAATGTTTCAAAGTGTGACGTGTTAGTTAATTGAGCAAAGAAAATATTTGTATATATTTATAGACTATAGTGTTTAGTGTTAACGTGATAAAATATTTAAAGTTTAAATTCAAGTGTACAATAATATATCATATTATTTTAATAGCTACTTATAGCTGTATAACATTTATTTTATTACCTATAATATAATATATATTATTATAAGTAAAATATGAGTATTCTCGCGTTTAAGTTTAAGATATTTCACGTTTCTTGTACATATTGCTAGAATTCACATTTTCTTTAATGTCGACATGCTTAATAAATAATGACATAAACACACTCTACTATACGGTCTAATGTATTATCGTGTATATTGTGTTATATTTTAAATGTTTGTTTATACATTTTTTTTTGCAATAATAATGTTTTGACGACGCTTTTATAAATCGTTCTTACTTTTTATACTTCTTGGCTCTTAGTAAATTTCTTCGATAACTACAAACAAGTAAATAATAACAATAAATTTGATTTAAAATAAATAAAGTTAAATTTAATGTAAGGTATAAGATTATTTCAATGATGAATTTGAACAAACATACTAAATTTCTAAACCGAATATTTACCATCGGTTTGACGTTAACAAAATAACATGCAAATACGTGCTTAAGCGTTAAAAATAATAAAATATGTAATGTAGTAGGTACTTGGTTCATAAATATATATAACTAATGCTATATAGTTTTAAAATAATTATTATTTATGTAGATTATATTTTATTTTATATGTATCTGCGGATACTATACTGTTTAGATAAGCTCTTTTGCTTTATTATTTGTTATATTTCTATAAGTACATACATTTTTAAATTTTCTATATTAATCAAAAAAGTTGAAAATCTACTTTGATTACAATATTATATACATTTATTTACCCTTGAATATTTTGTATAGAAGTATAAAATTTATCATAGACACTAAAAGGAAGGCCAAAAACAAATATCGATTTTTAACTTGTCCAATTATTAATTGAAATATTGCCGAATAATAATAATAACAATAATATTACGTACCTATTATTTCTACATTATTTTTAATATATCATCTTAACATCTTATATTATATTACGCATTATCTAATCATGAATAGCTTAGGCTTTAGCCTTTTTTACAACTGATATAAATTACATTTCAAGTATTATTATTATTGTTCATAGCAATAATACGTGAGACTATATAGTATATATCTATATATTTCATTAGGCTATTAGATATTAGGATAAGAAAAGAAAATTTGTTTATACCAATCAGTATAAGAAATGGTGTTTTTACTTATGATAGTTTATCAATTTAATATTATTACTTTTTCTAATAAACTTAGAAAGAAAATTCACATTTTATGCGACTAAAACAAAATAGTAGGTATTACTGTTGGATATTTTACACATAATTTTTAGTATGTATGTAATTAATGTATTTGAATACATTTTATTAATTATTTTAATGATTAATAAATAGATATTTATTTTTATAATTATTTTTTACAATGCATCTATTTATTATCAGTTATGTACTTAATTATAGTTGTGTTATTATTTTGTTTTCGTATTATTTTCAAATAAAAATTAACTTAAAAATGAATTGTGTAACTAGACTAAGTATTAGTGTGAAAATGTGGAGTGTACTTTGTACTTGGACCCCAGCGAATTTACGTATACATAATTTCCAATCGGTATTTAGTATTTACCATAGTCTATAGTTAATAAACTAATTATAATTTGTTTATCGTCTATATTAATGTGATTATTCTTTGTTATTGTTGTCAGGGAAATTATCAGTTACTTACTTATCTATCAATATTTATGAAGACAATTGATCTTAGTTTTAGTGATTTAGATACCTTACATAAATTATAATACATATTATATGCATATAGGAATGAACTTCCTGCAGAATTCAAATTGCATTAAAATAACGTGGATAGTAATAACACTCTGTCATCAGTCGTCATTATACTAGTCCATAGTACGAAATATACCTACAGTAAACACATGGACTCGGCGGATACCAGACATGTAATAATTAAGAGTAGATACTAGGGAAGAAAACACTCCACCAATTTTGTTTGCAGCTTAAGTTTTGCCAACTAGGCAAAGGGATAAAAGCTTTACTTAAATTATCAAATTCGATCGGTAAACTAATAAGTAATATGAATAAGAATAAGTGATAGCTAATAACGATTGATTCTGTGGAAAACGAAGAATTTGAGCTCTATAAAAGTATGATAAATAAGTGTATATGGAGGACATAGGTTTTGACATTTAACGGTATCATGATCTCGAATGGTGGAGATAAAGATTAAATAAATTCGCATTATTATCGCATTTATACGATACTATATTAATATTTTTATAACAGATCATCGTATCAACCTATTTATAAATATGCATGCAGATGCAGTCAAGTTAAAGTATTAACATATGCCGTGAACAAATTGAAAATTCAATTGTGAATTTTTTGTCGTAATAATATAAAATGAAAAGTGGAAAAAATCATTTATATATATTTTTTTAAATATGTTCACGTCTGAAATTATCATGACCAACTCAGGTATTAAAATCGAATTGAATAAACCAGTTTATCTGTAAACATATACTCATTGTATGTAAATTATAACAATAATAAAATCATTGAATTTTCAAGTTCAACCAGATTTTGTATTAAAAGTTCTATTAATAACAATATGTGATGTACTATGTAGGTACCTACATCACGTCATATTGTACATTTAAATATTTTATAACTCTTCCGATGTTCAATAGAACAAACGATAACTTATGTGCAGGCATAATATTATATTATATCGCCATTTATACAGCTCGTGATCGTTACGATGTTTTCTGATCGCTGTGAACGCCACTGAATTGTAGTGGCGGTGGCTAGGCTAGAATACCGACTATAATATTTAGATTTTAGGTACTCGCTGCCTGTTATAGCCATACACAATAACAGTAAATAGTAATCATACCATATTATTATGCAAGCACTCATTCCTCGTCATCATATTAAATGTATAGTATAAACTATAAAGTGTATACCTACGCGTACCTACCGGACGCGTTGGAGGCGCGCGCGCGATCGACCTGCGGAACGAAAGACGACGACGAATGGGTATTGGGTATGACGCGCGACGGGAAGATTGTCGACAAGCAGGCGTCGTTGTGCGGGGGAGCGGTAGAAAGGGGGAAGCCGCCGAACCCAAACCGTGATCTGTGCTATTTTACGCCAAACCGGTGACCACCGATCACGGTAGCCGCCCGGCGAACGGCGCGACGTCGTCATGACATTGTATAAAGCAGTGTTTTGACGATTCGCGAGACGACTGAATAACGGTCGTTCTGCGATCGCAGAGGACGGGTCGAAACGTTTTCAAATCAAAAGAGGTTCGACTGCTCACTGAATTGCCGCTGTGTCGCGATTCCATAGACAAGAGTTCATGGGTATCCACTCGAATACACGCCATACACGGCACGCACTATTATTGCGTTACGTATTTATTGTATTAATGACTTAATTATGCACAGCGCCATAGCGTAGAATGTAAACAGTGCATGTGTAACATTGTAATATTATATACAATAAATAGGTATTATAACACTATAACAATTAACAGGCAAACGCGATACGTGCGCGTAGCGCGTACGGTTGCCGATCTCCACCGGTTTGATATGAATTGTGCGCGCGCGTCCCCTCTACCGCTGCCAAACGGCCGTTTCACCGGTCCCCCCCCCCCCCCGCGCCACACGCCGCGCCGACAAAATGATGTCACTTGATAACAATTTCCCACCACCACCGTCGGTTGTGACCGAGGGCGAGTGGCGATCGACGTTTCTCCTCCGACCGCCAGTCCTCCAGTCGCCTTCCAGCAATCTGTCCGCCTGTCACGGCGTTCACAACGGCCTGTGTAGCGCCGCTCGTCAGTGATCTTCACCGGCCGACAACGGCGAACGCGAGCATCGTTCGAATCAAACAAAATCGGTACGTGTATGGTCGGCGTGTTACCCGGTCGCAACCGCCGCAGGATTTTCAGCGGACGCGGTTGATCCGCCGGAGCCGCGGCGTATTGATTATTTTCGCGCGACAGGGTGTGGACCCCGTTCGCCGTTTCTAGCGGCTTTCGCGTTTTCGTGTTTCGGTTCCTCGGTCGCCATCCGCCGCGACCCGTCCGTCTGGCCCGAATTATTGTCGTCTCTATCGCTACTGATCTTCGTCCGAGTCATTTTTGTCCCGTTTTGTAGCGCTTCTCATGTGTATTTTTTTCCACCCCCGATAATAATTGGTCGTTTTTTTTTTTTTGTTGTTGTTCTTCTACAGACGTCGTCGAAAAAAACCACTACGATGACCACCGCCCCGGCCAAGCTGTACGGCAAGAACTTGAGTGAATATGATGAGCTAGATGTCGACCAACTGCTCTCTCAGTTATCACCTGAAGAGATCAGCATTTTGGCTAAAGAAGTCGATCCAGACGTAAGTACCGAAATGTCCATGTTAAGCACATTTGTCCACGTTGAATAAATGTCACTTTGATGTCCATATCAGTTCTCTTTTGTCGTTTCAACATTTTTTATGATACATATTATAACACCTGCGGCTTGGTTTGACGATGATTATTATTTATTCATTCTATTTTATAATTTTGTACCTATTATTATATTGGATAATAAACTTCCAAAATTTGCCTGTTAGTGGTTTTTAAATTAACTTTCAAATTTATGCTATTTCCATTTCATTTACTGAGTAAATACTTGATAACTATTTATTTTTTTTAAATTTAGAATGGTTGCTCAATCTTTAACAAATTTTTACAGATAAATTTCATAGTTTAAAAAAGTACATTAGGTATATTATCATTGATTACAATTTGTGTTTATCCTTTAAAAATTTACAGTATTTTTCTCCTTTTTAAGGACAACTTATTACCACCATCTGAACGTTGTAGTTATGAATGTAACAAAGAAGCCACTGGACCATTAAATAGAAAAAAACTGATTGAGCATATTAACAAACAGGCTCTTGAAACACCTGATCTACCAGAAATTAAACCATATGTACCTGGAACTGTAAGAGGGAAAAAGGTAAGATGATAATTCATTAGAATATATTTATATTGGGTTGTTAAATTAATTTTTATTGAATAAAAATGGAATAACATTATAATTTAGATAATTCATTTGAATTATTACTATAATTTTTTTTTTCAATTAGGAGAAACTATTCAAAAACTTTTTATTTTACCTAATTCCGTTTTTTTTTTTTTTTAAAGAATATTTATAATCTGTATACATTATTATACGCAAATTATGAGGGGCTTAAAAAGAAAACTAATGACATGTAGACTTGAGAGAAGGAGGTGTCCGGTGACACCACTTTAAATGAACCTAATTCCATTTATAAAATATTATATAGGTAGTTGAAATTCAAGTATTTACATTTTGAATCTTGCTTGAAAAAAAAAAACTTAGTATAATATCAATTGATTATATTTTACGGGAAAAGAAATTGGCCATTTAAAGGATTTAAGATAATATTTTGTTAATTATCGTTAACAAAACAAAAAACCTACAATAATGTCAATAATATGTAACTAAAAGAAAATTTTATTTTGAATAACAATGTTATGAAACAAAAATATAAGTACTATTAAAATATTAATATTTTAGAGATTATTCTCAAAGAAATGAAAATTCATATATGACTAAGCTCTAAACATTTCATTCAAATAGTATCTATAAATTTTTGAGTGAAATATATAATAAAATAGGTAGTTTTAGTTGATAAATATAATTTTATTATTCCCTGTTTACATTTTAGAGAAAGTAATAAATTTAATTATTATTAAATATCAATAATTATATATAAATATAATTTAAAATTATAAGTTTATCAATTTTTAAATAATTACAGTAAAATGTATTAAATTTATGAACTTAGTATGGTTTTGGCAATTGTCCTAAAGAAATTGTTCATTTATTTTATCCTTCAGATTTTTATCAGTATTTTTGTATATTTGAAAATATTGTGAAATTGTTGTGTAATAATATAAAGTATAAACAAAATTAACTTCAGTTGTATGCTATGATAACCTTAGTAAATATGTTTATAATTTTGGATTATTTTTAAATCATTAATTATGATTATTCTGTTCTCATTTTATTACAGTGGGTGGCACCTGAAACCAATGGTAACACTGAACATGAAGATAAAATTGCAATTGATCTTGATGATGAATACGGTGATGCGTTAAATTCCGCATCACAAGAAGAAATTATAGATTTGGCTGGTATTTATTTAAATTTTCTATAATTTATCTCAATGAATATTTATTGCTTTATTAAGTACATTCAATGGCATATTAATAAAATGTTTCTCTTTGCTTTGTCTTGTAATATGAACTTAATTAATAAATGACTATGTATATTCAAGTATACTTCATGATTAAAATTGGTTTATTAAATTAAACTATGATTTTAGCTATACTAGGATTCCATTCAATGATGAATCAAGATCAATACCATGCTTCATTATTAAATAAAGGTCAACCAGTTGGCTTAGGATGGGACGGTGTTACAAAGGCAACACAGCCTAAGGTTTATCCCCCAGAGCCGCCCAATCAAACAGATCCAGAAGAAACTATTAAACGAGTACTTGATGATGATTCTAAGCTACTTGATCTCAATTGGAACAACATTAAAGTAAGTATACTAAAATTATAAAATTTCTAGTAATTTTAAAGTAATCTTATTAGATAAAAAATTAATATATTCTCTTGTTCTAGAATATTTCTGATGAAAAGTTTGAGAATCTATTCAAAGCTTTAGTAGAAAATACTCATTTAGAAACATTAAGTTTGGTAAATGTTGGACTCACTGATCGGTTAGCAGACAAGTTAGCTGAAGCATTAGAAAAAAATTGCACATTACGCGTTTGCAAGTAAAGCTAATAACATAATAATTAATTTTTAATTTTTATTTACTATAATAAATGAATAAAAGTAAATTTGGTATACCTTTCTATGATATTTTTTAGTGTGGAAACAAATTTCATTAGCCCTGTAGGAATAGTCCATTTAGTCAAGTCTTTATTGAAGCAGAGATCTTTAGAAGAATTCCGTGCCACTAATCAGGTACACTTTTTAACAATTAAAAATAATAATTTTAATTCAGTTTTTCAATTAATTATTTTATTTTCAGAGATCCCAAGTATTGGGAAATAAGATAGAAATGGAACTTACCAAATTGATTGAACAAAATCCAACTATTCTTAGACTGGGTTTGCATTTGGAGTACAATGATGCTCGTCATCGCATTGCATCTCATTTACAACGCAATATTGACAGGAGTAAGTTTAAATTTTATTATAAAATTCAAATTGTTTTTTAATTATTATTTAAAAATAGTTCAATAACATCTTTTTAAGATAATTTTAATATTTAGGGATTATGTTATTCAAACTTAAAAATGTCCAGCTATAATTATTAATCAATAAATGATATTATATTGGTTTAGACATTTTTAACTAGATATTTAAATTTTACCATCTAAAAATAGTGAAAATAGAGTCAACTAATAGTGCTAACTTAGTCCTAATTAGGCCTATAAATGTTGTTTATGATAACTTTCAACAATTATTTCATTACAAATATTATATTAAATTGTTCTTGTAATGTAACAAAAAACATTTATTTTTAGTGTATGTTAATTGAATGTTTTTTCTGTATCAACCATATTATTTAGGACCTCTATTTAAATTTTATTGGTTAATATTATTTTTATTGATTATAAAATTTTATAATCAATAGTATATTTTCTGGACATTTTAATTAATAATTTATGATGTTAAAACTATATTTAAGAAATATAACTATTAGGAACTAATAGTTATGTGCCTCAATCATTCAATTTTTGACCTAAGTATTAAGTCAAGTAGAGGCTTATGTGTTGTTGACATCTTAGTTTCAGGTATGATGTCCGATCATGTTTTATCAAGTTCCCTTGTTCCTTTATTAATTTATATGTTTGGTTTTTTATTTTTTTTACTTTAAATGAAACATTTAGAGTTAAAATATAAGTAAATGCATGATCTCTATTTGTGTCCAAAAAGATTATTCAAAATATTTATTCCTGTTTTATTGTGATTTTGTTTGCAATCATTTTTCAAATATTACCAATCATCCATCAGATTGCCGTCTTGGCGTTCGAGCCAAATTCAAATTGGCTGAAACTAGACACAATAATCAATCGAGTTTTGAAATTGTATCTACTGAATAATATTTGTATGTTTCCATTGTCGTTCAGTTCGTGTTTTTTTTAATCATGTATATATTTTTTGTTTGAAATTCAGCTGACCTGAGTCTTAACCATCCATTCTGTTTTCAAATTTTTTTTTTCATTTAAAACAAACATGTAATTTTTTGTAATATTTATTTTTTATATCCTTTGCACACCTACTGGATGTTGATATTTTTTAAATATATGTTTGGTAGTTAAAAATGAAATGACCATTTTAGAATGTAGTAGATCCTATCTATTTGAATTTTAATTCACAAAAATTATGTTTGTTCATTTATATTAATCCTCTTCAATATTTAAATTTGAATGCCAAAACATTATAAATCATTTTTCAAAATTATAACATTCTTTAATATCCTTACAATTTGTTTATCCTTATATCAATCAATGACGTTAGTTTAATGATTTTTATTTTTGTTTATTTTCCACCTTCAGTAAGAAAAGACACGCCGTTGAAAATGAAATTTAGGTTCTTTAGAAAAACACCCCAGAAGCACCGCAAGAACTTGATCAAATAAATGATCGGCGGATTACATTATTGAGGTCTTGTCTTTTTGCTGTTGTTGTTTAATTTTTACTACTTAAAGGAATAGCATGAAATTACCAGCTCTTAATGTTTAGATTCATAACTTATGTATTACTTTGGCCATTCACATTTTAATTTGTAATGAAATCGTGTTTTAGAGTGAGATAACACATTAACCTTAAAATGATTTACATATCAAATTTGACTAATTCTAATTTTTTTTTTCGTTTTGTCAAAATCTATAATTTAAATACATATTTATGAACATAATTTTTATATTATGATTTTAATTTAATTTTGTCATTGACTTATTAACTACTTAATTAAATTAATAGAAAAAGAGTAATTTATACTAAGTTTTAAAAAAAACTGGATCATACAAATTCTATTTAAATGCTAGATATTCTAATATTCTCAAGATAATTTTATCATTCTAAAATATAATCAAAATACCTAACTACCTAATATTTGCATTAGTGTAAATTTACTGATGTCTTAATATCTTTTTCTATGTGTATTAATGAATTAATATTGAACTAAATTCGTACAGATTGCATATAGGAATAAAATTTTGTCTTTTAATTTTAAGAATTTTTGATATAATGTTATAATATACATATAAACAAAAATCTCCAAAAAATATAAATAAATTTAATTTTAAGTTTAACTTCTTAAGTTATAAAAATACAAAAAGAAAGGCTTTATATTAATTTACTTGATTATAATGATTATGTTTTAAAATTAATAATAATATATTAATGATTATATAAATCATAATATCTATGTTTAAGTTTATTTAATTTACTTAATTACATATTAATTTTAAGCTACAATTGTTTACATTAAGTAATAATAGTGTTTGAAATTAATAGGTAATATTTAGTAATTTAGTTATAAATAACACGCATGGTGTTTATTTAACATTGTTTTGTTTTTAAAATATTCACATAAATTTTAGCATGTCAACTGAAGGAAAGCATTGTGTTTTCATTCAGATTGCATGTTACCAAAAACCACTGAATCCTTTTGGTGATTGGTAATACTGCAGAATGTTTGTGTAAACCATAATCTGAATTTGGTTTTTGGTGTTTTTCTCTTTTGCAGTACGCCAGAGCCGTGTGGGCGCAAACTCCGCATAAATTACATATTTTGGCTACGTACACTATTTAGGTATATTTAAATAAATAATATTGAAAACAAATAAGATACTTCTTGTATTTTATGCTTATGCTCATGAAAACGCTTTTATATAGCTTTAATTGCAAACAATTTTGTATACTCATTGTTGGCATTTATTATAAAAAAAAAAAAAATTTGGTAAAATTCCAAACTATTGAATTATTTTTCAAATTAATAAATTTTATCACATTTTTATATCAGTTCTTAAAGTATTTTAATTGCTTGTAAAGTGTATTAATAACTCAAAAGTAGGTTTATATTGTCATTTAACATTGCATGCCTTTATGTTTGCATGAAACACGATTTCATTTTGTATCCTTCAAAACATTATCAGAATATATAATTTTTAAGCTAATTGTGTATAAAATATATCTTATTGTTATAAAACTCTCATATTGTGCACTTTTTTTTCTCCAGTGGTACCTATTAAATTTTAAATAAAATATAATTTATGGTTGCAATCTGATTGATTATTATAAAAAGTTCATTCGTAAATGACAATTCAAGAATAATTGTTTAAAATTTTACTTAAAAGTTAATGGGTGTATTATATACCTACACAATATGTACCTATTGTACCTAATACATAAATAAATACATAAATTTATGTGTGTGTATTATAGGATTTAAACATATTTTATAAACCCTTGAAATTTTTTTAAAGATTAAAATTTAAAAAAGATTCTGATTTAAATATTTAAGATACATTTTCAAGTATAATGATATTTGCAACCAAGGGGTAAATTCAATAAGATATAAAATATTTTTTAGAAATTTAAAAATGATAAAGTTACCTTTTTTAGTTAAACTAATCTTGAAAGGTAAAATTGTATTTTTATTTTCTATATCCTTATCAAATCCAAATTCCTTAGTCTACCCCCCAAATAATCATATAATTTTGTTGTACGTCATTATTGGTAAGTCCTTAAATGCTTTGATTTATACATTTTTTTTTTTTTTTTTATGTAATTTTATAATAATTATTCATATAATGCTTTTTAAATCCATGTATACTGTAGAGTTGCTGCTGCTCAATGTTGCTGCTATTAAAATTAAAATGTAAACCTTTGGTGATGGTTGGATTATTATCTGAGAACAAGTAATTTATTTTGTCTATACTTAACTGTTTTTTTTTCTTTTGCAGGCCGTTTACGCAGAACTGGTCACTTTGCGCGTACATACACTGGCGGTTGGGTTGTACATAAAAAGGCTAAATAATTATGAGTTTGTGCCTAGACCTTGGTCCTAGACTCTTATATTTTAAGTATTTAATTATATACTATATTTATATAATGTATTGTTTTTTTCTCCTCATTAATTGTTCAAACAATTTGTATATATATTTATGTTATGGTCTTATGCTGGCCTTTTCATATGCGTTTAGTTCTTAGTGCATGTGTGTGACAATTTTATTGATTTGAATTTTTAAACATACAATTATATTTATTAATATAATTGAGTTAAACAAATTTATTATATAAAAAGAAATTTTATCTTGTTAAATTGCACAATTTTTATTTTGTGCGTATTGTTTTAAAAGAATGATATATTTTTTACTATTGAGTTGATCATAAAAAAATTAAGTAGTACCTAGAAAGACTAATTAAAACAAATAGCATAACCCTAATTTGATTTTGTATTGCTAAACATTTATAGTTATTTTATTAAGGTTATTATGTATTTTTACACTGATACTATTTCACTTTTAATTGCATTAAATGCCTTTAATTGTAAACAATTTTATTACACCAAATTTTGCCATACTATTTTTATAAACTGATTTTCTTGTATTAATGTTACTGTTGTGTTTCAACCACATTATTTTAATACAATGATCATTTATTATACTCACTTAAAATATATAGTATTGTATAACGCAATGTATTGTATTGAATTATTAAACCTAATATAATACCATTTGAGAATGTGAGTTTAAATATCACTTTTGATTTATGAAAAATATGGAAGATTTTGATGCAAGAAAGCAATATTAAAAGAATTGTTTGATACTAATGGTTCACAATTCATATTGTGCATTAAATTCAAGTATTTAGGGTATTGTGTTTTCTACATAATGTCATCGATAACTTCAACAATATAATGTATGGAAAGCTGTATAAAGTAGGAATATTATAGCAATAACAATATTTTTCATAAATATTCTTATCTATAGAAATACAGAATTTATTTTTAAAGAATATTTATTTATTTTTTGAACAATATTGGAGTAAAACGGGTTGGGAATATTTTATCAGATTTCAGAAAATGATTTCCTTGGAAACTGTATTTAAATTTCGACAGTATTTTACAAAACTGAATGCAGATTCTGATATTCTCATGATTTTCTAATATGCAGATCTCTTGTATAATATCACAATTTAAACAAAATTTAAAAAATTCTTACCTATTGTTTTGTTGTTGGTCCATGGAAATTGAATGATTATAAACAACAATAACACTGTATAATACTTTATTAAATAAATAACTTAAAATTACAAGTGCTTGATATAGGTACCTATATCAATAGAGAAAAAAATAAATGATATCTTAAGTTGACTTATTGATAATCAAGAATAGGCAAAATGAACATCACTTAGTGTTGTTGTAGTGTAATTGGAAATAATTTTACTTGAAGTATATTTAAAAAAAACATTATTCAATTATTTTATGTTTATATGTTATGATATTTAATTACATTATACAAAATAAGTTTTAATGTAATTGATAGGTTTTCATTAAAAAAACAAAAATTATATGCAAAATAAATCCTAGATACAAAATATTGCACATTCCTATTATATAACCATATTATAAGTTTACTTAGCCGTCCAGGTAATAATTAGGTAAACATGTACCTATTAGTCATTAGGTAGGTAGGTATTTAATTAATTTTTAATTAAGTTAATATTTTTTTCCATATTAATTTTTAAATTTTGAATTTTACTGTATGTATAGGTTTATCATTAATATAAGTTTATAACCATTGTTTATAAACTTAAAACATAACTGACCTGAGTATATTTTTTTTTGTTTATTATTCTAACCGTACATACAGTGAAAGTATTTCCCTAAAGGATACATCTAGGGGCGGATTTAAGGCACTGTGAGCTATGCAGCTACATAGGGCAGCAAATTTTTGGAGGGCAGTTTTTTATTCACAGCAAAATTGTATATTAAATTGTAATATTTATCTTTTTCTTGAACAAATTTTTATTTTCAAAATAAATAATTAGTATTAAAACTACTTATATAACCAAATAATTATTTAATAAATTTATTTATTTTTTCTTTTATAATAGGTAATAATAAATAAAAAATATTGTGTTTGAATCAAAACGTTTTTTATTGAACTTTAGTTAAATGAAAAAATAATTGAATAATACAAGGAAAATTTTGTTGTACAGAGGTGATTTTTTTTAAATAAGGGTGGCAAATTGTTAAATCCGCCCTTGAGGATATCTCCAAACAGAGAATGGTATTATTTCCGAATTAAAACATTTTACCAGGCATTTTTCAACAATAAAATCTCTGTTAATTGGACATGCTAAATAACGGACCATTTGTTGGTGCAATTTTTGCTGTGATTTTAGAATAATTTTAGAACGCTACAATTAAAAACTATGTTGTAGGCACATGTACTAAACATGTTAATCGTTTCAATCAGTTCAATAAACTCACATAAATACATAATGCTTCATTGTCCATTGTTCTTCTCCACTGTTCTATCGTAAATCCGTTGAGAGTCTTGACCCGTGAAATTACTAAACGACAAGATTTTAAGCAAATCAAAGTAGGCATCTGATTGTTTTCACTGGACGACTGAACCATAACAGGTATTATTTAATGTAGGTACGTATCCCACATTTATTTTAAGAGGAATCTACCTACGTATATTAGTAGTTATTATAAATTTACCTATTGATTGTTGGAATAAATTATATATTTAAATAAATATATTATCAATAGGGCAGATATAAGTGTCATTATATCAATATTCTATTTTCTAGTGCATCTGCCTACATAACGTAATATACTTGTATAGGTTATGTAGATTGTAGGTAGTATTCATTTACTTAAATACAGTTTACAATTTTAAGCTCACAACCCGCTCTGCACCCAACCGCCTTCGAATAGCGAACAAAATTTCGTTAGCTGATTGCGTCCACTATTCAGAAGTTTCACCGTTAAAATAGACATTAAATTTACATATTTTTACCGAAGAACCACTGTGGTCTGTGGCCAATAATTCAGGAGGAACAAAAAACTATTCCTATGCTAGAAATTTTGAAGTTAGGTAGCAACATATATGTATAACTCCGAACAATCGATAACTTAAAAAGTGTAAATACGGATTTCTAAAAAGTTATTTTTACTTAAGATTTATAATATTGGCTTTTCGAAACATTTTGATTTTACACGGTCAACATATCGTTACATCAAAGCTATTATTTACATGATCTCGCGTTTCTAAAAGTCACTAATATATTGATACCTAGGTCCTAGGTACCTACTATATACCTAAATAAAATTTGAACTCAATTTTTTTGAAATTGTCGCGTGATGCAGATCTCAATAAGTTACGATAAATATATAGGTATATGGTACTTGAACGAACCTGACCTGCCCAATAACAAACACAATATCGTTATATTATATTGTTTAATATTGCTGTTGTTGTGCGCGTCTTAAATAAATCCAAAATAATTGGTAACCGGTAGGTAATCGTAATGGTAGGTAAGGTACCTAGGTACCAATGCCTAGCAGTTGCATGACGCCATAACCAGTGCTGAGCTTAGTGTGGGTGCAGCGGGTGCAATTCACCGAAGTCTGAAGGCTGAATTTATTTTAGGGGTTGATTTGTTGGTCGTAGATTTCCAAATTTTGTAAAGTGATAGATTGTAAATAATATTAAATATAATGATCGAGAAAAAAGTAGATATTTTAAGAAATTACTCTGATCCATTTATTTTGATCTGTTGTGGACTCAGTCGTGTCCCTGCGTGTAACTCGACATAAAAGAACACGCACAAATCTTGAGGTGTTTCCCACGGAATTGAAATATTTTTCTTCTTTTAAATCTGACTTCGCTTTTATTAAATAAATAGAAAAAAAATTAATTAACGCATTAAATGACAGGATATAAATAATAATTTTTTATTTTAAGAAACCTCCAACAACAGTACCCAATTACATCCCGCCGACCTTTCGAGACTTAGATCTCCGCACTGCTTATGACAACACAATAATTGTAGACAGACAATAATAACGCTGGGTATGCGCGATGACACGAGAATATAATGAATACAGGAAGTTGTTTTATCTCTGTTGATGGTGGTGATGGTGGTGGTTGTGCTGATGGTGATGGTGCTGGCGTTCCGTTTTGGTCGCCACGAGTTGACGTTCGACGACGACCGTGTTGTCGTGTTCCAGTGACTCAGGTTCTGTCGAAGTAGTCGTCTGCTGTGACGGTGGTGGTAAACCACTACCGAAGTTTTTAAGTCCACCCCCGGCACCCGACGGGGATGTGCTCGCAGTCGACGCAGTCGTCGTCGCCGCTGCTGCCGGAAAATAACAGTGAGGCGCGAACAGCGACGCGTAGTGCTGCACCGGTTGGAAGTATCCGTGTCGGTGTGCGATTTTCAGTTTGGACGCCAATTGCTTCTTCCACTTGGTCCTCCTGTTCTGGAACCACGTCTTTATCTGCACTTCGGTCAGGTTCAGTGCCTTGGACAACTCCATGCGCTTGCTCACGCTTAAATACTTGTCTGTCTGCGAACATAGGCAAAAGCTCAACGCTATATTTTGAGCGAGACCGTTATCGACCAGATTCGCGCACACCCTTTTTGACCGATTTATTCTTCAGTCAAATTTAAAAATGGTCGATCCCCCTTTTTATCTAAACCAAAAAGTTTGACATTCAATTCATGTTGCATACGCGTAGAAAAATATTAAAAATTTAAGCTCGGTATAAATAATTGTGAGGTAAAAAAATAAAAACAACTATGTACTTTTATTATAAATTATTTGATCGACGGTCTTTTAGTAGTTAGATTGTAACGAAAACTACCATATATGTGAGTATATATATGATACGTTAACTTGAAAAAAATATAATTGATATAAATTTTACGTTTTTAATACTTTTCTAATCGTAAAATATGAAGATAATATCAAAAAGTTTGATATGACCAAAAAGGGAATGGCGAAATTTAAATCGAAAACGTTTATGACCTGTATAATATATATCATAATAAAATTTAGACAAGATTTCTTTGTAATTAGATGCCAAACATACATAATTTTATTAAATATGCATTTCTCAACTTAAATTAAAAATTAGCATATTTCATAAATATAACACCTTTGGTAAAATAAAAAATATTCATATGTACATATTTTCGCTTGACATTTTGAACCATATTTCAAATGTATTTTCTTAAATAACTTACCAGCAAGTAAATATTGTTTCTTTAAATAAATAGTAATTTTATAAATACTTTTTCACAGGCATATTGAAAATAATCATTTTTCCCTGAGAAACATGTTCAGTTGGTCGTGAGAACCATCACAGAATGTCGTCATAAATAAGATAATTTAAGTAAACGATTTTTGGTATCACCATTATCTATTATTATTATTTCTTTATTGACGGAAAAAAACTCCATTAACAAAATAATCTCAATATAAATAAACTTTATAGGAAGGTAGTGTGTATATAAAATGTACAGTTAAAATTATAGCTAGTACAAATTATATTAAAATTTATTTACCATGAATGTAGCAATTAATAAACATAGTTTCATAATATATAAGCATAATTATATATCAATATCAGTTACTAGTTATTTATTAATAATTTACTAAAATTAACTACTGTTGTATTTCCTATCGTCACCAGTATATTAAAAAGCGAGAATTGTAAATAATTCTTAGAAATATTAGGTATTAATTAAACAATAGTTTTAATTTCCTTGTCAAAAAAGTAAAAAGTATTCAACATTTAATTGTTCCGACAAATAAATGCAATCTCATGTATATTAATTTAATAATTTTTGTAAAAATACATAATGAAACTAATCTCTTTTTTTATTTAATGATTCTAAATTAAAACATGATAAAACGCTTTCATACTTAGGATACTATGGACGTTGAACTTTGAATTTACAAGGTATAAAGGTTTAATATTTAAACGATTTTGAGTTATACAAATGTTATTTGAATGCCTTATTAGAGACACTCTAATTGAGATGTGACAAATGTCAAATATCAATTTTTAAAAGAAAACAATTTATTTAGAAATTTATCAGGTACCTTGAGTCCTTAATTAGTGTAATTTAAGTAAATAATTGTTATAGTTTGCTATCTTGTATTTATATTTAGTATACTTTTCATTTTATATAGTTAAAATTTAAATTTTAAAAACAAGTGTTTAGTATTTATTTTTCTATTAAATATTTTATGTCTTTTAACACATGTTTTGAAAAAACAACATAAATATTTACGTATTTTGATTTATTTATTACTTACAAATCTGTACACTAATTATAATTTTTAAATATATTTTACAAAGTATATGAAGCACATTAACGTGTAAATTATGAAACGATTTTTTTTTCTCATTCAAAACCACGGTCAATCCTTCTTTCTTACTTTATTTTATGTAATTGATAAAATAGTTATAAAAATGGGTAAATATTTCCTTAATTTTAAAAGTTTGGAAACGCTCATTTGTGTGTGCGATATTTCCTCCAACCATACCCACAAGTTGTGTCAAATAAATTTCATTGATCACCACTAATATTAACATGGGGGCTATAAGATTTAAACTTTATTTTTCTATTTCTATAGTCCTCGTGGTGTATTTTATTTCCTAAATTTCTAAATACGACTCCCTTTAATCAAGGGAGATTTAAAACATGACGTGTAGCAATTTTGTACATTGAACAATAGAGAACAGAAAAAGAAAACTTTATAAAAAACACTTTGCATAAAATATGTAACGTATTTATATATTTACGTCTACCTTACCCTTGAAATTCGAGCAATAATTAATAATACAATTATTAAATTACGAACGGATAACGGTTTTATAAAACACACTAAAATTCCTTTGAATAAATTAAAATTAAAATCAGCTATATATTTAACTAACATCATTTTTATACAAGACATTAAGATCATCAATTATTCCAACATGCAACTTATAATATGACTATTATAATTACGATTTAATAAATTCTGAGTGCTTTAAAATTTAAACAAGATAAATTAATATAAAAATTTATGGTTTTTTTATTAAGATATTTTTAATTCAAGAGGTATGACTTAATATTTTCCTTATCGACAGACTACATTTAGAAAAGGCATAATCAATTATTTATTTTGTTTTATGGTTATGTCAGAAAATTTAAATATTTTTGTTTTGCATGATTTATTATTGAAAAATGAAATAGATTTGTTTAGTATATAATACACATTAAACTCCGTTGATCATTGATGGTGTTTTCGATTGGCCCTTTTGAAATTATAACTTAGTATAAACATTATTTATTTTGTTTTTGGCAATTATATTTATTGTAATTATAGGTATATACGTACTTATTGTATAACGGGAAATCGCCTAAACTATTTGTCAATTAGGCACAATGTACATATACCACGCGTGTTTAATACAAGACGATGAGACGTATAATATAATTATTTTTGCTTATTACTTTTTATAAATTATAGTTAATATCTTACAGTAATATTACTAATATTATAACTTAAGTCTCAACTATTAATTAAATTAAATAGTTACTTATATTATTAATATTTATAGAAGAAATATACTCATATAATTGTAGTAAAATATAAATTCTAAAAATATCGAAAAATACATTCAAATACTTGTTGAATATATTTTAAAAACTAAAATATAAGATATACAAAATCGAAGCCTGTACTAGTCTGAATGCGATGGATCTAAGATCGAACACAAGACGATTCTAAAACGACTAAATATCATGATAAAAACAAATTTACTCACTTTAAACTCTGCTTCCAATCTTTCTAGCTGTTTTGCACTATACGCTTGTCTGGGTTTTCGATCCAAACCGGGTTTTCTAGATCTTCGTCCCACTGTTTTTGGTGCTGTTAAATATAAATATATTTGTTGAACATTTACACGTGTTATTTAGAGGACACTAGTTCCGAATGTATTGTATCCGTCTTATTCAAGCGTATAACATAGTAAATCTACATATATACGTACATATACTGAATTCTTATTATAGTTTTTTTTTATAATTAAAAATTGATATTAGAGAAAATTGACATATAATAATTTCAGTTGTCAAGAACAGATCTTTCATGTATTAACGGTCGAATAAAAAAAAACATGAATCTCAAGAGGATAAAAATAAATTGCTCAATCATAGTAAAACACAAATCCACCAATATAAATTTGATAAATTCGGCTAATCTAATAATAATAAAAGAAAAAAAATTAGACAAAAATGTTAAATTTGAAGTACATTTGAATATTTTTATAAATATTTCTTTATACACATAAATTATATAATTTTCATTTAAAAACGTCTCAAACGTATATTTTATGTTAATCATAAATCATGAATATTGTAGGTTTTCACTACTTTCACTGTTTTCAGTCATTTTCATTTTTAAAAATTTTATTTCTAGACATATACGAGTAGAATAGGTAAATTAATAATTATGCCCCGGTATATTTTGAAAAACATGCAAAGTTATATATTTATTAGTTTGAGTAATCAGGAAACATAAAAAAAAAATAGGGAAAAATAATAATAAATAATTATATGCAAGAACAAATGAAAGAATTGCAAACAAACAAAAATTATTTGTTTAGACTTTGTGGGAATAACTTTGTTAGTTACTTATTTACTAATTTTCAATAATATACATTTTTTAATTATAAAACAGAAAAAACAATACTTTTAACTAAATCTACCTAACTGATAATATTAATATAATATTATACGCCAGTCTTAAGTCTGAAAAATGGGAAGAAAAATATCCCTAGGCGTAATTCATGTATGAATAAAAAAAATATTTAGACCCCAATTTACATATGTATAAAATATAGTCGGGCCACAATTTACATATGTATAAAATATAACCACGCTGCAATTTACATAAAAATTAAAAATGGGATGCAATTTATAGCGACTTAGGCGAATTGTATAGGATTTTATTAGTTCTTTCATTACATCCGGTGGATTCGTTAAACAATAATTAAGGTCATGGCCCACGAGCATGAAATATGATTATAGGACATTTAAGACTACCTACACTTTAACTACAGTTACAAAGCCGGCTCTAAATTAATATGAATTGGTTATTAGGTATTTAATATTTTAACAAAAGGTCAGTAACAACTAGCATATTATTATATATAATTCTATGTAAGGGGACTCCGCTGCCTAATCACTTGGTTCATCGAAGTTAACCCACTCTTGTAACCGTCTGGTGAATTTAAAATCGAAATCTTTTGCAGAAGACGGTTCTTCCACTATTAATTATTAATATTATCTAAGATTATACACTATTAACGTATTAACTTATATATTTATACATATGCTTGGTTTATCCTAGTTTTTTCGGGGCCCTGGACAAAATAATTTCATCGTGCTTTTTATTTTTTAGTAAATATATTTTATCAAAACATCCAATAATGTAATTTTAATATATTTAAAAAGTTTTATGTTTATTTGTTAGGTAGTATCACTACTATCCTGCATATAATAGTTTATCTGTAACTTACCTGCTCAGCATGTTGTGCATAAGTATAATTAATCATTAAGGTACTTAGTATTTATATTTTATTACTTATAAAGGACATTTTTTAACTCATTAATAATACCAATATTTATATCTTTTTAACATAATATTATTAAATAATAGAATAAAAGAAAAATAGAAATTATCACGTTAAAATGTTAAAACTGAACTGAAGATTTCCTTTAAAGATTATTGATCAGATACTTTTAGTCGATTTTGAAATAATTTTTTTTATGAACATTATTAGTGTAAGGCGTGTAAGCTCACAACAGTCACAACCATACGTAATCTCATCAGATATAACTAAATTAATTTATGAACTATATATATCATCTATAGGTACTATGACTACAAAAATTTCATATAGGTACTTTAAAACGTTTGATTTTAAATTCTGAAAAAAATTATTTTAAGTTGGCCACCAAGTTTTCTTTGTATCGATTGTTACAAATTTTATTTTAAAACCAAATATGTAATTAATAATGATTTACTATTAAACCTCATAAAAATTTTAAACTGCGTATTTCAACTTTTAAGTTAATTTTTTCAATGAAAAAAGTAGCATGATGCAAATTGCAAAATAAAATTTTTGATGAAACCTAAACTATTTTAAAAATTTTAATTGAGCTACTGCCAGTAGTTAAAATGTTAAAAAGAAATTATCATAATGCTATTACGTATTATAGTTTTATTACTTTTATTAATATTTCTTTGTATATGTATAATATTTATCGACTTATAAAATATTCAAACTTTATCTAGAGATAGTCAACTCTGTGTGATATTTTTTCAATATTACTGTATAGATAACTTTTTATTATTTTTCATGAATCATAATTAGGGATGCAAGGCCTTAAAATATGCACTAGCTTGAACAAATATCCTTGTTGACCTCACATAGAGCTGAGCTAACTCTATATAATATGCGTAAACTATACTGTTATATCTCAAAGTATCAAAAAAATCATCGTATTTTATTCATCATTTTGATTTATTGTAAATATATAAAAAGGTAGGTACCTAAAAATAACCATATACCATGTTTAATACAACAATAAATGTAAAAGTAACCATTACATAGAATTATCTATAGTCTATATATAATATAACCAACTAGGTATATATAACAGTTTTTGAAAATTATATTACAACTTTAATAGCAAATTTCTTCTATAAATTATTTTAAAAAACGATAGGTCAGCCAGATGGCTAAAATGGTGAATGGTAAATCGTCCTAGGTATGCAATTAACATTTTAAAATTCAAAAAAGAATTACCAACCTATATACTCTGTATTGGCGGGCTGCGAATTAGAACAGATTCAATGGGAAAAAGTGACTGTGTGACCACTAAAGCTCACACTATACACATAAATATTTCTACATTTTTTAAAGAAATATTTAGTATAATAATTTTTGTTATACAGATATAATTAAATTATTTATACATTCAACAAATGTTTATTACCCGTGAGAGTAACTACAACTGAAAAAAGTTTTCTACTCTAAGACTGGTAAAAATTTGGCTTCGTTCCAAGATGCAAAGATATTGTTCTAAGGATAACTTAATTATGCTTACTAAATATTCACAAAAAAATCAATATAAATAGCAGTTTATCATTTTACATATAATATAACTATTAAACGGCAGTTAGATTTTATAATTTAATAAATTTCTTAGATCCAGGAGATTTTTAATAAATTTAAGAAATATTTAAGATTATGATGATCATTTTATTTGCTTATTAAAAAAAAAAAAAAAATTAAATGGGTATATATAACACTATCTCAAATAATAATTTTACAATAAGGCAAGTGATAGATTTGATAAGCTTAAGATCGCTAGGTGTTTGAAAAAAAGTGGAGAACTGTTCGGGACAGACATGTAGCTAGGATTTTATTTTTATTTTTATTTTTGGACGAAAGGAGTGTCTAAATAATTTTGATTACAACTTTTATTTTTATTTTTTTTACATGACTGATATACAAAACTTTTAATTTTTAATTTTTTTAAATAAATGCCCTAGATATGTGCTTGGTTTAAAATAAGGAAATATGGAAGGCGGCAACGATGGCGGTGAAGACTCATACATGGTTGTAAAAATCATAGAAGAAGAATATGCATTTGTAACTTATATATTATTTAAAAATATGTATAATAAATATTTAATTATTTCATAATAATCAATATGTAACAGTTTCATATCGACATGAAAATGTTCGCATTGGCTTTTTATATTACTAACAACATTAATTCCAATTGTGAATCGCTGACAATACAGTCATTAGCATAATATTAGGAGTGTGTAACGTTAAGCTTTATAGTGGTTGTGGTTTCTAAATACTTAACTCTAGCTGTAGCCTGAAGGGAAAACGATTTCATACATATAGTATATTATTACAGTTATTATTTACAACCCTCGTCGCGTGGTATCCGCGAAGGATGTGCGGGTCAACTCGGAGTCGACCCGGTGCCGTGTCGCATTAATTATACGCGAAAAAATGATAAATAATAAAATTTTAAAAAAACACCATAGAATGTAAATTACTATCGAATCGGGTTTGTGATGCAAATTTTCATTTGACTTTGGGTCAATGTCGATGACACGTGCAACACTATACATTGTACGCTGTTTTTACATTTTATCATATAAATCAATGTATGTAATTAGTGACGTATTCGTATACATAGATGTACATTTTACGTATAAATCTACATAAGACAATCCGACATAATTATATTATAACTTTCGGTGTTGTAAGTTGTCAAACGTGCATTATATTACCTCGAGAATTTAAAGAATCTTTAATATTAATCATTCACTCTTAAGTGTTCAAATAAATAAATAAATAACAAAAAAAAAAAAAAAAAGATCTTTTATATTTCACTATACAAATTGAATACATTTATACCAGTGTATATAAGCATAATATATATCCACACACTCGTTTATCGCGCGATATGTCACCTCTATATTATTATGACGTCAAAAGTTTCACAGAGAGCTCCAAACAAATTTGAATTAATATCAGATGTCCACAGAAGAAAAATTACTTATGTCAGTTTATTTTGCTCACATTTTGTCTTAATTTATTTTTATTTTTATTTCATTGATTTTACAGAAGACATCAAAAGCAAAGTTAATACTTAATACTATTCCTCGATAAAAGTTATGCACATTACATTAGTTCTAAATTTTTAATAATATACTATATATAATATTATTAATAATAAGAGTATACGATTAATTTTTTCCAAGAATTCGATTTTGTGTTAAGTATGTGAACTTGATATATAAAAAAATTATCTCGTTTTTAACTACCTATATATGAGTAGTAACAATGTCTCGGAAATAAAATATTAAATTAGGGTTTATATTTATTAGTTTTTAAATTTTAATTGCAATTTTTATATACCGACCTAAGCATTTATTTATTTGTAGTATTATCTTTAATATATATCTTTTATATTATATATAAATCCTGGTCCTACTTATTTAAAAATATAATTTATCATTAAAAGTAGTTAAAAAATTTGACAAAAACAAATATTAAACTTTAGTAAAAATAAATTATCATTAATAATATTTTTAATTATTTTTAATTTTTAGAAGATTATAATTATTAGAATATACTATAAGAATTATAATTATTATTTATATTTTTGGTAGTTTGTACAAATTTTAAATTATATCAAATGTACAACCGACTTTTTAATTAATAATGTATGTTTTAGATTAAGAGTCCGAATCAATGAAACAATGAAGAATAATATAATTATTTATTATAATAAACGATATAATATGGTACATTGAGATAAGAGCTGTAGGGGAAATACGTAAAAAGCTTACTATATATCCTTCGAAATATTGTAATTAGAACATGTGATGGTTTTCTCTTTAAAAATAGATACCCCAAAAAAATAATGCCTTCTTTGCTTGATCAAATGATGTAACATTATGTTCTGATATACACTAATATTTCCTAACGATTCAAATGGATCCAAATGATCTGATGAAGGGCAACTATGATTTGTTACTAGACAGCGTGTTTATGCAGATAGATTTGTATAAATTAAATTTTTCAAAAAAAGAAAATGTTTTTATTCAGTTTTTATATTTTAATATAGATTACAGATACTTACCCTGAAGACCGAATAAATGGGATGGTGGTGTCTTATTAGCTACCGCTGCAGCAGCCGCAGCTGCAAACCACCCGCCGTACAACAGCGATGAGTAAGGAAAGTTATGACCGTTAAGTTCCGCAATGCTATCTGTATGCAATAAAAATATATTAATATTTCACATTTCCATTAACATAGTTTTTTTTTTCAAAATTCAACAGTTCAAAATGATAATACCTAACGTCTTACTAATGAGCAATTATATACCAAATTTACTGTTGTTTATAAAATATACCTATTATCATTTATCAGATATAAAGTCATCGTAAAAATTAAAATAGATTAAAATTAAGATATAGTCAATATAGACTTTGGTGACTAACAAACTAAGTAGTAAGTATGTATTGTGAAATCGTGTAGATTTTAATAACCAGTGCGACGCGAATCGCGTATATATATATATATATATATTTATTTATATACTTAATTCCGTATGATTTTATATCACAATGTTACTATACTGAAAAAAACATATATATCATTGTAAAATACGATATATTGTTTCGTGGATTAGACGACTAAGCCTTTTTGAAAATAACGCTTTTGAAAAATCAAAATTTTATTTTACACCTTACTTTAGACTGATCGTATTTTTGATATTCTGACTTGAACGGTTTATTTCTTCTGATTAAAGATGTATTTTTAGAATTATAGCAGATTTTGTGAAGAATTTCATGAGCTTTAATTTAATACTTGAACATTGTATTTTTTTTATATGACAGCAGTGTTATCAATTGTCAAAAGTTTATAATTTTAATTTGGTTTTTACCAAGTCAACTAAAATATTTGATAGAACTGATAAAAGTATTGAATTTTGTTTTATAATATGATATTGTTATTACACAAAATTAAAATTTACTTATGTTTGAAAATAAATAAAATTGTTATTGTGACATTTAATAAACTTATTACAAAGGATACTTACTAGCTGACGGTAATTTTTTTAATATGTTTCATGTTTAAAAACATATACATCTCTGAGTAATTATCTTTTTTCGGATTCAACGATATCAATTATCTACATAAGAAATTATTAACTAAAATAAATTCCAATTATTGTGTTATCAATTTACTGAGACACAAATCACTGAAATCGATGGCTAAACGACGAATAATAAAATGTGTTAAAATAAACTTATTACAGAACGACAACATACCAGATATCGATCCGGTAAATAAAGATAATACATTTTAATAAAGACATATTTTATACTTTTTGTTATTGATAAAATAATAAAAATAGCTAAGTGCTAGAACATGGAAAATACCAGACAACACAATAGTGATGAATATGAAAAAAACAAGAGAAAACTCCAACATTAAAAGTATACGGGAATGACTAAAAAATTAAGTTTTACGACTCACGTGAAAATATTAACATTCTAATAGTTCTGTTTGTAACCTATGACTTGCAAGCATTTAAAGGAAGAATGGGGTAAGATGAAGTTGTAAGGTAAGATAGCAATTGTGTAAATATATAAAATATATTATAAAAATTAATTACATATATAATCAGTTGATTATATTTTAATTTTTTCAACTTATTACTATGTTGGATTGGTATCCTTGTATTAATGTTATTTAATATTATTTTAATACATTATGATAAAGCAAAAACATGTTATCACTAAATTACTCATTTTTTAAGTTAAAATTTACAAAACATCATTATTGTGTAACCTATAAATATTGTTTTATAATAATAATTATCAATGTATGTTTATATTATTATAGTAAATGTCATAAGTATTAGACATACGTATGTATAATTTATTTTTGCTAACTGTTGATATATGAGTAGATAGTATTATATAAATTAATATCATTAGAGTTAAGATGAAAAATTAATTTTGTAGTTAGACCTTAGTGGTCCACCGTACCTCATTTTCATTGAAGTATTAATCTATTTATAACTTTATGAGTATAATACACCTATTTATAAAGAAATAATATTAAACGAAAAATTAAAATATTAATTTTTTAAGTACAAATTCTATATTGCTTACAAATATTTGATTTTTACACTATGTCCTATCTTATCTCAATTGTGAGACAAGATAGAGAAATATGACTTTTTTGAAAAAATTAATAAATTATTGAAAATAATTTAACATTTAAAAAGTTAAATTATTTAAATTGTGTATACTAATTTAGAAATAGCATTCACGTTCGTATGTTACATTGTAAGTTTAACATTTTTTTAGTAAAATGTTTAAAAAAAACATCACAAAAAATGGTTTACATGTTAAGTGTCTCGAAATACCCCAACCTCCTATAAATAATCATCACACCACCGAATTAGCATTAAACACGATCGCAACAATTATACTTACCTACGCCGTGCAACGCCAAGTCGTTCCGGTGGCGTTTGTCGGTGTCCGATGTCTCAGGACAAGAGTCGATGGCCGTCGTAGCGGCACCGTCACCACCACTAAACCGGCCCAAGATGCGATCAATGGAAAATTTGTGATGGGCCAAGGCGCCGCGTGGTTCCGCGACATCGCTGCCACTGTCCGAGGATTCTGAGTGCCGAGACGGCGACTTGACAATCACCGGATCGTCGTAATCGGTCATCGTGGCAGCCGCGTCGTATGCCACTTGGTTATAAGCGCCAGGCGAGAGTTCTCCTTCCGAGTCTGAGGACGTATCCATTCTATCTCAAAAACGGTGAAGTTTACTTACTAAATAAATACGGTCATTGATAGAATTTGTTTTGAACATAGTAGGTATACTTATTGTTTAAGTAAATTTATACTTATAATTAGGTTCCGTTTTAAATTTTTGTTTTATTTATCATAATATTCATATAATAGTATATAGGGTTATATTATAGTTATCTATAATATGTTACAAATATATGCTGATAAATTATGGTTAATAAAAATAGGTACAATATTTGAATTGATCAATTATTATTTCATTATTTAAATAATTAGATACTTGTTAGTTGATAATATAGTCAATAGTGAAGATTCTAATCTATATATCTATGTATACTAGTCAAACAGTCCATAATAAATCTTTACTTATTATTTTTATGATTCATTTGGAAGATATTTTTTCACACGAACAATTTATAACTGATATTGTGGTAAACCATTTTTAATGTTGGATACGTATAATACTAAAAGTATTCTATTTTCCATTTTATTTTAACTAGCCTAACCATTCAAATATATATTCATTGGATTTGAAATTAAAAATTGGTATACAATACATATATAATATTTATACGTATAATATTTTTAAGAGTTTTAATTCAGGCTCGAGCTCACTGATTAATGCATCAAGTATAATCTAAATAAAATATTCAAAGAGCAATAATTTAATTCTAATGCCAATAAATTTACTTCAGCACTATAATCAACTCTTAATTATCTTATTTAAATACGATCGAAGTCATTAAAATTTAAAAATATAAATTTATAAGAGCTTGATTTAATAATTGTTGCCTAGTTTGACTTAATCTGATCCTTGGTACTCTTAGTATACATTCTTATATATTTTTGTATTCATCCCAAGTCGCTAAGAAAGTGCAAAAATAAAAGTATGTGAATCAGCAAATGTGCGTCCTACACGCTATCCACAAGTGGTACCCTTAAAAAACCACATTTTACAAGTAGAAATTATGTTGTGAATTTACAAAAAAAACATACTTATATATAAATTTTAAATATTTAAATTTATTTATGAATATCATAAAATACAAATTAACAAATGTATATCTAAGTTATGTGTCTATTTATCAAGATTTGGCACTGCGTAATGTATATGAATAAAAAGGAAAAATGTGCTGAAATAGAATGTGAAGATTAATTTTCATTTTTATGAATTAATGTTTTGAATAAATTTATATTAAGTATTATCCATTGATATACAATATTTATCAAAATGTATATTATAAAATTCAAACATCATTAAACATTAAAAAAAAAATGTATTAATTTATTGTGTAAACTTACTTGTAATGAAATATAATGCTCCGAAAATCAGTAATGAAAAACAATTTTCAATGTTATTCAATGTATTTCGTTTAATCCATTTGCTTTGGTATAAATTGTAGAATTTTTTACATTAAATAGGTACATCAGAGTTGTGTTATAACAATATTAATGTATTTATATCTTTTCACGCTAATAAAAAATGAAGAAAATATACTGACGCGGACCGGGACCGACGAAGAGGTACGAGCGGAATGAAACGTGAAAATGCATGGTGCGAGTGAATCTTGTTAAACTGAACGGTTTTAAAGTTTATCCCTCGTTTATCCTTTTTGGCCATTTTTCCCACCTACCCTCTGAGCGTTTCCTCACGGCTGCTGCATCCCCGCCCCACCCACACCAACCGGGCCCACCCTCCGTCAATGTCGCCCGCTCGCACAGGTCCTTTTATACGCCTTGTAAAAGTTCTCAACGTCTTTCAAACACGATGCGGTCTCCTGGGCAACGGTTTTAGACCGTTTTCGACAAATGGCCGTTTCCATTAAGGCCCAATAATCAGTTATACACGACCAAAAAGCTCTTCGTATCTTTTGTTGTTCCACTTCTCCTCCTTCTCAGCCATCCATTTCACCCTATTATACAATCCATTTACCCCCAAACACACACACACAAATCTGAGTTGTAGGGCAACGTTTAATACGGAAAATGTTCTCAAAACGCCTATTTCCTAGAGATAGTGTTCACACAATAACAATCGACGACCTACGCATACATATATAAAATATTATACAGAGTGATCGAGATCATATATTTAAAGCATTTAATTATACTTACCTGAAATTTAAGATTATAGTTTAATCGTGAAGATATTTAAGTAAAGTAATTTATAAATGCCTCATTTAATAAACAATATAATTGAACAATTGATATAGGATATGGTTTAAGTGTTTTACGAAGATATATTTTTTTAAAGCAGTATGTTAAAAAAACATCATTATGAAAATATCACGACGATACATTTTTTTTTTTTTTTTTTAAAGGCTCTAAATAAAAATAATGATAAATTAAAATCTTATAAAATCATAACTAATCATCATACATACATGACTACGTAACCAGTATATAATTATAGCTCACAAGTTAAAACGTTATTTAAAAATGTAATTCATAATATACAATAGATACATAATAATATACAATGTTTGTAACGAAAAAAGAAATTATTTAGTAATCAAAATCCATTTGGTTTATTGTGGTAATATATGAATAATCGTATTTTTAACACACCAAATAAAACGTTAACACCTATGATCCACCTCATATCAACCTAACTACTAGAAAAATATAAAATTTCCAGGCTATCAGTGACTTACTACTTAATTTACTTTCAAAAAAATTAAAAGGAATATAAACACAACTATGCACATAATATGCAATTTACATAGTATATATTATAATATGTATAATATGTATACGATAACTATAATACCTAATTATTGTCTAGTCTAATAGTAGCATACAGTCGTAGTGTATGTGTATACACTACGGATAAGTACGGTTCACGTCACGTTGATCGTCTCATTCCCAAACACTATTACATTACATTTAATCACTTAAAAATATAGATGACAGATATGCAATCCCTCAATATATAGAATGATTCACTAATCGTGCTTACCCTTTTTTCTTTAGTAATACAGTTATTCAAAATTTCATTTTTTTAATTTTTAAATATACTTAAAGACCACATTTTCTAATTCTTAGCAAATTGTGTACTCCTTATAATGTCCCGCAGGGTATGGATATACAAACTTTTGTTTTTCAAATGAGTTAAATTATTTTTAAAAGACAATTTTTCTGAACGTTTTGATGTAGAATAAAATTGAAATTGAAACTAGTAGCTTTTGAGTTATTTAACTTTGTGCACCAAACAGCATAAAATGAATATGAATAAACCTAATGAGTTCGAAAATATGGAGGCTAAAGTTATTTTTAAATGTTATTAATAAAATCAATCAATATTTATAATTTATAAAAATGATTCAAGTACAATAAATTTTATAACAACATCTATTTTATATGTATTATTATTATATCATCTTCAAAGAACAAATTATTTTTAGTATAAACATTTTATTAATTAAGATATTACTTGTTCGAACTTCAAAATTTACTAAAAAGTATCCACTAAATAATTTACAATATAAAAGGTGATTTTAATTTTAAAAACAAAAGTTTGTATCGTTATAAGACACTCATCAAATACAAAAAATCTCTATAACTTGAAAATATAGACTTTATAAGTATACTAAAAATTATTTAGATGAACATGCTCGGTGAATCACTCCGTATATAACATTTTACATTATTATTTATTAGTATATATTTATGTATAAACCAAAGCGCGCGGGTGGTAAGCCGCAGTGCCGCGTTGGTTATGTTATATTACTTTATATACCTAGGTATGAGTATATATATAAATACATATATATATATATATATATATATGTTTACATACATATTATAACGTTCGGCGGACTGGGTTTAAAGGGCTCGGCGTCAGTACGAGTAATGATGTTTCGCCTGGAAGGTGTGTGCAGCATCACCACCACCACCTCCTCAACAGGGCCGTTGATGGCACTTAACAGGCGTTTTAAAGAACCCGCCGAGGCTGAGGTATATGGGTTGGAGGTGGATGGACGAGCGTTTTCGTGCACGTTTTATTATATAGGGACGGTGAACAGGTAAAAACAGGTGTTTACGACACGTTTGTTTTCCACGGGATGGTCGAGCAGCCTTTTGTCCACTGCGTTTGTTAGCCGTTTCGTCCCCCCCGTCTGCTGACACTCCGACGCCAATGCCGCAAAGGGCGTGCCGAGTATAACCGCCGCGCTCCGCCCCTGCAACTGCGTGCGCGCACGGTCGCACTTGGATCCGCGATTCCGCACGGAGGGTAGTTTGATTTGGCGATACCCGGCGGGACGAGTCACTATAGTATGTGAGGTTGTACTCTTTCCCTTTCGGAAGTTGCATGTCAGACTGCCAGCACGTTACAGCAGTACAATATTATATTATATTCTTGTCTATAAACATGCGGTGTATTTCCAACAAGTGCACTAATAATAATATACTCTACTATAGGTGTAGTTGGTGTATAAATAAATAAACTGTGAAAAAATATTTCAGCATAAAAATAAATCAATTTATATACATGATAGGTAATAATTATGGTTCAGATTTAAATACTCTAAAAACTATCAGTAACCAAACATGCTTTACAAAATTTCGATTCATTTCAATAATTTCTTTAAAAAATGACCCACATTTTTTTATCCACCACAAGTGAGAGGAAAATGATGGCTATGCATAAATGTAATTTAACTTAAAGCGTGAAGTTTGCATTATTACCTTTATCTATTCATATTTATAATTTCTCAAACATCTTTAACACACAATTATTTTATTTTATTTTTTTTTTTTTTTTAATCGAACTTAAGCCCGGCAACTAGGGCCATTAGCTGTTTGTAGGAGTTATGAACTATGGTAAGGGATAAGGTTGGTACGGTAGGTTATATTTTACGATTGTTACAGTTGATAGCAAACACGTGTATGTGTGGCAAGATTTTTAACCACTATGATCCAGAGTGGTCACCCATCAAGGAGCTAGTGGCCGTTACTTAGGTACTTTTAGTCGCAAATATCATTAATAAATATTATTAAAAACCAATTATGGCATACTCTCGAACCTAATTGATGTAAATGTGCCACCAGAGGTATCAGTTTCACCTGTCTGTAATACTTCTCTCTTCTCCCTAATGATAAATGTTCAGCGACACTGATATAATAAACATTTGTATAATAAGTGCAAGAGATAAACCACATTAATATTTATCAGCTCATTATTTTTATTGTCAACATAATAACATGAACAATGTGTATTATAAAATGTGTCAAAAAACGGCCGGTTTATAGTCTATACATATACACAATGTATTATTCTGTGTAATTTACAAGTTTTTTTTATATTTGTGCGGAACCCCCTTGGGCGTAGCGGGGAGCTGCTTTTCATATATTTTTTTATTTATGTTTTTAATATTTTTTCCAACATTACTAATACCTAAATTAATAAAAAATAAATATATGCTAAATCTTGAATTGTTTGTAATTTAAATAACCTGTACACCAAAAAGTATAATTTCCTAATGTATTATAATTTAAAATAGACTGGTTTAGTAAAATGTTAAATACTCAAATTGAAAAATATTCACAGAATCAGAACTGTATACATAAACTTACCAAAATATAAGACAATATTTAATACAACATTATTTTCTACCTCAATATTTAACTTATACCTTAAAAAGGTATTTTTTATTATAATTAAAATAGATGCTTATATATATTTTATATATGTACCTATCATATAAAACAATAATTATGGGAGATAACCAAAACCTTAAAATTGTATGTTAATATAATATGTTTATTAGATATGTTTAATTTACAATATGTTAAATAATTATTTAATACAAACCCTGGGAAGTAACTCTGCTGTAGGTATCTGTAGGTATCTAGTATATTTCATTATTGAACGGGTCACAATAATTGATGTAATAAATTTGAATATAATGAAGAAGGATTTTGAATTGAATATATGTATTTTTAATGATTTTTAATATTGTGATGAGAACAACTTATGAGAAACTTTACAATAAATTTCCAAGCTTTTTTAATAACTTCTTATATTATTATACTACTCGTAATATAAATTTTGTCATCATATTATATAAATCGAAAATAAATCTAACATTTTGAAAATTATATTATGTCTATTAAATGCTAATATTAAGTAAACATTTAGATTCAATATCATTAAAAACCAATAGATACACTCATTGCTTTGTTCAGAATTAAAAAACTAGAAGAAGATTAATATAAGTAAAATTAATAAGTAATATTTCTTTTAAGATTCTCATAGATTCCTAAAGATAACTTATCTCAAAACTATTACCTTTATAAAATAGATATAATTATAAAACGACAAAGTATATTATACAAATGTTAATACATTAATGAACAGTATGTATTTTATAACTTAATTTTTTTATCAATTTATTACTTTAAGTAGATGATTTTACAACTGTATTAAAAAATCTCACATTCACACTAAAAATAATAGGAAAATAAAATATCTTGAAACATAAACAGCTTTTAAGTATTTTAAATATTAAAAAATAAAACAGAGTAAACAGTAAGAGG